AATACTATCAGCTGTAATTACGACCTCTAGAAAGCGACCTCTTTCTTTGAACTCGAACTCTCAAACTGCTTACTTACTCTCCACCCCATCTTCAGCCCTGGACTGCATATATGCCTTCGAACAGTCGCCGACCCGCTAATTAACGTATAACTCTCATGCTATCGCCATCCCCGCCCTTCCATGTTTCACAATTGAGTCTTTTGTCTAGCAGATTTAGCAGGCCCCGTGAGGCCAATCGCAATCAGGTCCAATTTTCATGGACTCATGGGTAATATGGCGCTCGTTCGACTCGCGCACAGCCCAATAGTGACTCGTGGTTCGACCATCTACATTTTTAACTTTTCTCTCTATTGCCATATTTTTTTTTCTGTTTATCCAAAAATCGGAGTTCCTCGCAGCGCGCATCCGATCGGTGCTTTTCGTCCTCCCAACTTGAGCTCCATGCTGCTTGAATTTGCATTCTTGATATCCTAACGTTTCTATGACTAGAGTCTGGTTTCTTGTATCACGGCGGTTACGCATAGCAGTAAGCACATGTTTTCACGAGAAGCCTAGGCAGTTATCCTGCGCGTGTTCGAACCACGCACAGGACATTTAGGTGATGTGTACCGGATTTTTTGCCCCCTTTTCCACCCTGGTCCAGCAGTCCGTGCACAAAAGATGGCTCCTGATGGCTCTCTCGCTGTCAGCCCGCTCACGCTTCGATCCATGCGCAATCACACATGCTCACCGCCTATTCACAGAACACGACAATAGGGACCTCATCGCCACTGCATGAGTTCGACCCACCTGTACGCTGTGACCGACAAGATCAGGTTTTTTCGATGTCAGTAAGGTCTGAAGATGGAGCGGGTGCCTATGCACCATACAAAGTTAAAAAGGGAGTGCAAAATACGTGGTTCTCTCCAACTGTTCGTTCCCAATTGCACCTCACGAGACATTCCCCACATCGTCACCCATACCCGCGCTGCTCCATGAACTCTCTCGACGGAGCTAAGTACAGCTGCTGGTCCTCGAGGTTTCATTGTCAAGTTGGAGACGCGCGTGCAGGCCAATTCGCAGCAATAAGCGGTGTCGCCGCCTGGGTACTAATAGCAAATTTTACGTCTGGCCAACGTTGCCGGAGGTTCACCAGGTTTCTTTCGTGCCTGCCTCTCGTGCTTCCCTGTGCTGATATTGCGCTCTACAGAAGAAATCACACATTCAGAAGATGTCGCGAAAACCGGAATCCTCTAATGTTCATAACAACGGAGACCAGATGTTCAGTACACGATGCTGTAAAACCACAGCAATGCAAGTTGTCGGTTTTCTTGTAAGAATCTATGGGCTTAGTATCACCCCATCGAGCGCTTGGCCTGGTTCAAGTTGAATTTTACTAGCGCTCATGGTGCTCACAAGGCGATGAAATCGTTAGAGATCCCCATGATATAGTATTATGTAGATGTGCGAAGGTGAGTAGATTACATTGCGATGAATGGTGTACAATATACTAAGCCGCGTTGGTGTGTAGGCTTATGCCTTCGGCTTCTCCTGTATCGGCTGATCAGCTTCTGCCTTCCTCAGCTCATCCATCGCCGTCCGAATCGCCTTTGAACGGTGTACGACGTCGAATAAACCCTGCACGTGTGTCGGCTTCCAGTCCTTCGGTAGCCGCTCGTGCTCGATCCACTCCCTCATCCACTCGACTGGCACGCCCTTCTTGGTCCCGGCCTGTGTCTCCATCACACCTAGAATGATTCCCATTTCGCCCCGTGCGATCTCAGCTGACTTGGCACCAAGGGGTGGTGATTCCTTCTCTCGCCGGACTCGTGCCCGAGCAACGTCCACGGCGTCCATGATGGTGCTGCCCTCGCCTGCCTTATTCACCGCTTTCACGTCGGCGATTAGCGCGTCTACAAGCTCGTGGTCGACGGCGATAGGCGCGAACTTTTCGCCTGCAGGCGTGTTGTGGTGCACGAGACTGGCATCGTGTTCGACATACCCATGCCGGCCGATATAGTGCAGGTCGAACTTCCGCAGTCGGTGCAGGAGGACAAAGCCACCAATGGCGAGGAAGTAAGCAAGTGGTGTTGAGAGGTTGTAGCCGGCTTTTAGGCCAGCGACGAGCTGGAAAACGCCGAGGTTCTTGCCGTCACGAGCACTGTCCATGGTGTCAATCATGCGCATCATCACACCCAAAAGAGAGGGGACGTACATGTAGCCGTGGTTAGCAAGCGTGTTCAGCGCGGGACAGGGGGAGCGACTATCACCCGGCTGAGGTGGACACCATTCGTGGTTATTCCCTGATACCGGGCAGGTCTTTCCTGTATGTTTGTGTTCGGCGACGGGGGGGTGAGAAGGTGGCAGAGTGGTCGACATCGCAGAATGAGCGGTTGATCAAGTGGTAGGACTAGGGGCCTGGGGTGACTCAGTACACATGTCGTCGTTATATATGGACTTACATGAGCAAAAGCGATAAGACAGGAACCTGACCTGACAGGAACCGCTAAGGATCGGCGCAATCCAAGTTGCGGTGCTTGCCTACACCTCCACACCCTGGAACAAGGTTGTCAACAAAAAAAGATCTAGGATATCGCGCACAATTGAAAGTCTTGCTTTGACATTCCGTGGACGGAATTTCTCGACCAACGACGACCATAGGCCTCATTGTGTTGCATTCATTCAGAGAAGGGAGCAAAAAAAAAACCTTCCGTCAGGAACCGCGTCCGTCGGCTAAACCCCGCATATTGACCCCATCACACATATATGAATCTGATCATTTGAACATCGCTCTTGGTAAGCCGGCCGCCTCGAGGCTCAGACGTTCAAACCTCCGAGTCCATAATCTAACGCAAGCCTTTCGTCCATCTCTGCTGAAAACAAGCTTCAAGCTTCGTTTTTATCATAAGATACGAATTAGAAAACGTTCTCTGTCTCTTGGAATGCTCACGATCAGCTCAAGCTCCCATATATCGTTATGTTATGTGTCACTGTCATATCATCGGCACAGTTTTTGCACCGTGGCCTCGAGGCCCAATACGAAACTTGTGACTCGCCTATTCTATCGAGGCTCAAATTCAGGACTCGAGTCTTCGTCGGCCCATGATTCACTTGCCACCCCAGATCTGAGCTATTGGTATGTTTCGTCTCTGCATTGCCATCGGGTATCTGTTTACCATGTTATACATTGCTGTACATCTACTCCAGACTATCCGTCTGATACTGAAGGACGAAAGCCGACTCTTATCGCCTAGGGGCTGGAGCCAGCCTGGGACGCAAGATGGAAAGAGGTGAGTCACACCACAGTCCATTATGGAGGCGCAGGCATGACGCTTGTCTAGTCTAGCATTGGTCTTGGTAGCGATGCTTGCTCTATGTGGAAAGGCCCCAAAGGTGAAGCTCCACTTGGATATCGGTGGTTTCTATATGGTCTCTGATTGGGCTGCGTCTTGTTTGATCTACTACTAGTGTCTCCCTGCATTTGCGCGCCTTGCGGAAATGCCGCCCTAGGCTCACCGAATTACATCTCACGGATGTGTGTACATCCGTGAGTGTCGCGCCGTCTTCCGTAAACGCGTTGACGCTGATATATCTATTTTTACCTGTTCCTTCCAGGTCAGGCGCTTCACCAATCACGGCCTCCTATCTCGGTGCGGAACTATCAAATAAGGTTCCACGCATTCAGTTCAGTGCTCCACAGTTGACAACTGATGCACCACCATTTTAGACATACCTATCTTATTTTGTCACGATAGTAAAATCTCTCTCGATTACACTTGAAACCAGACGCTGAAAATCCATACTGCAACATGTGCCTATTTATCACCGCCGTCGCTCAACTTAACTTATTCTTACTTTTGCCAGCGCTAACTCGACGACGGACCTCGATGCTCGCTCCCTCCGATCCAACGCGGCATGCCTCATTACAAAGGGCAAAGATTTGCGGGCAGGTGTCGCAGACGATCACGTATAACGTGCGTCCATCTTTCCTTTTCTGACATTTATCTTGAGTGTGTGAATTGCTTCGCTCCGACAGCTATACGCTTGAGATAGGATGGCCTCGGTGCTCTTGTGGTGTTCAGATATACATCTCGGTTTCACCAACTCCCCGCGCGCGCTACATCCGAGGTTCGAGGAGCACTAGGAGCGCGATCAGCGTGATTAGATCTGACGACTCGCCGCCGGAACGCGATCACCGCCCTGTCCACGCTTTTGACTGCCGCCGACTATTCTTGCCCTGTTCGATACGGATCATGGTCTTGAGATTTGTGCTCTTCTACCACTTCATGTTCCTCACGAGGTGTTGATCAGGCTCGATAGCAATGCGTGTAATCATTTCCGCTAATAAATACGCTCGAAAGTAGTGGATTGTGAGAATCTGGATTAAGTGGAAGGCATGATGCAGACCAAGATCGACATTATCCGACACATGACGAACCATAACCTGTTGAACTTGCTTACCATCGTGTTTTCCGCTTTTTGCCTCGACCGGAGCCCCAATCTTCGGCGCGACCATGGTCCACACCGTCTATCACCGCCTTTTCCCTTATTACCCACGACATCAACTTAGGTCGAACGGTCTATATTTCTTCCCCTTTGCTCGCTTAGCCTGGTCTTCCACGCCTCAATTTTTGGAACATCAGGAAGACATGCACGTCCAGTGTGTGAATTCCTGGTTAGCGCTCTCGACGTCCCAGCAAAAATAGCGCTGAGCTACCGCGGCGGATACACAGAGCCATGATACGTGCTGGCCAACTTGAAGGTTGAGGGATAGATCTGAGAGAAATTCGCCATACCGTATTCGGAGGATACCACTCAGACTATGTTTTTGTGCATTCAACTAGCAACTGGAACTGGAACTTAGGACGCGTGTACTTTACATGCTAATTGCTGGATAAGATAAACAATACCCGGATTGAGAGATATAGCCTTCTGACCTATGGTGCTCGAACTTGAAAATATCTGCGCTGTTGTACGTCGTGCAGGATTTTTTGGGTAATGAACTATGTCGCTAATGCAACGCCGGCGTAGTACAATGGTTAGTACGTTGCTTTCCTAGATTCCGTAGGCAGAGGTTGTGGGTTCGAGTCCCATCGTCGGTTCTTTTT